GTAGCCCAAGCTGGCCTTAAACGCACAGAGATCCACCTGCCTCTGCCTCCCAAGTGCTGGGATTAAAGGCGTGCACCACCACGCCCAGCCACTAATTTTTTTTTTTTTTTAACACAGGGTCTGTAGTCCCAGATGGCCTGGAACTCGCTGTGTAGACCAGGTTGGTCTTGATCTCAGAGATCTACCTGCCTCTGCCTCCCAAGTGCTGGGATTATGTGCCACCACACCTGGCCATCCAGCCCTTAATTTTAATATTTTAAATTACATGTGTGTGTGTGTGTGTGCGCACGCGCACACACTTGTGTTTGTGCAGGTGTGCTGTGCATGGGGTCAGAGGACAACTTTTAGGAGTTGATTCTCTCCTTCCACTGTGAACTCCAGGGATCAGACTAAGGTCATCTGGCGTCTGGGCAAGCACATTTACCTCCCAACTCATCTCACCGGCCCACAAAACCAACTTTAAAACAGCCATGTGCCACTGTTTTGATAATGAACCACAGTCACAGGGTAGAATCTGGTGTCCATCCTGGTTAGGAGGTGATTGTAGCAAAAAGGAGAGATTCAGCCTCGCACAGGCTGGAGGCAGGGCAGAAGAGCTGGACGGTTGTTTAAACACCCGTGTCTCCTGGCTCAGGTCCATACTGAACATCACCTTCACAAAGGAACCTGTAAGAACCTTCTGACCTACAGCCTAAGAGCCCAGTCCATTATTTTTTTAATGTATTTGTGTGTGTGTGTGTGTGTGTGTGTGTGTGTGTGTGTGTATGCTTGTATGTCTGCATGAGTTTATGTGCATCATGTGGGTGCAGTGCCCAGAGGCCAAAAGGGGGCATCAGATCTGCTGTAACTGGAGTTACAGGTGGTTATTACCCATGTGGGTACCTGGCACAGAACTTGGGTCTCCTGCAAGAGCAGTAAGTGCTCTTAACCTCTGAGCTATCTCTCCACACCCCCATCCCACCCCCAACTTCCATCCATCTTTTCATGTCGACTTTATAAATTGATACCAGCGTGCACTGGGAGTGGTGATGCACACCTGAAATCCCAGCACTCGGCAGGTGGAAAGAGGAGGATCAGGGGTTGAAGGATGGGAGTATGAGCGAATGGGCAGTCTGCTCTAGCTGCCTAGCCAGTGCCCAGCGAGCGTCCCTGTGCTTGTGAAGCTGGCCCAAGTCAGCCTCTCCCTCTTTGTTCACTTCCAGGCCTTGGTCAAGATGGAATTTCCAACCCTGTGAACCCAAGAACCAGACTGCGAGTCCACCAAGGTACCACTGCCTCTGGGCCCATCCCCACCAGTGGCCTGTTCCTACTGCCGCCTGTCCAGGCTGCAGGCAGACCTCCCTCCCGGCTAGTAGAGGCTCTGGCAAGGCTCACCTGGTTAGGCACCTGCTTCTAGGAGGCCATCCTTCTTCCAATGACTGCTGAGGAAAATACATTTAATGTGGAATTACCAAAAACCACTGCTGGTGATATCAGCCATCTCAGCACTCAGGGGATGGAGCAAGGCTAGCCTGGCTACACAGCAAGAGCCTGTGTGATCCTTAATATTGACTATCTACTTGACAGGATCTAGAATCACCTAGGAGACAAACCTCTGAGCCTGCCTGTGTGGGAGTGTCTAAATGAGGTCCTTTGATGTGGGATGACCCACCCTGAGCATGGGCAGCACCATCCATGGGTTGGGGTCACAGACTGCTTAAGGAGGAAGCAAGCTGAGCACCACATTCCCGTCCCTGCTTCCTGACTGCGGGTGCCACATGACCAGCTGCCTCACACTCCCATCACCATGCTCCTACCACTACGTGTCCTGCCATGATGGCCTCTGAGCCAGAACAAACCACCCACCTTTGAGCTCCTTTTGATCACAGCAACAGAAAGTAACCAAGATGCCCTGTTTCAAAACAATATACATAAATATATATGTATATATACATATATATATACATATACAGGCAGATACAGTCCACGTACATACATATGTATGCAGATACAGTCCACAGACAACACATATGCATGCAAATACAGTCCACATACATACATACATACATACATACATATGCACACAAATACAGTCCACACACATACATACATGTGCACGCACATACAGCCCACATGCATACATATGCACACAAATACAGTCCACACACATATATACATATACAGGCAGATACAGTCCACGTACATACATATGTATGCAGATACAGTCCACAGACACACATATGCACGCAAATACAGTCCACATACATACATACATACATAACGCACACAAATACAGTCCACACACATACATACATATGCACACACAGCCCACATGCATACATATGCACACAAATACAGTCCACACACATACATACATATACAGGCAGATACAGTCCACACACATGCATACATATGTATGCACATACAGTCCACACACATAAAACCTCCCTGCTGCTTCCATAAGAATTAGGGTCTCTGTGTGCTTTAGGCAATCCAGGCTCCAAGATGCCACAGTAACAAACAGTGCCCAAGCTGTGGCTTGACACAAACACAAATCCCTCACTGATACAAGTCTGAGCACCTCTCCAGAGCCAGCTCTGACCTGGCTGGCTCGAGGGTCACCACCTCGGCTTCAGTTTTGCCAATGCCTGAAGGGAAGAAGAGGAGGAGAACTGAGTCCTCCCTGGTGTTAATACCTCTGACCATCAGACCTCATAGTCTGAGTGCAAAGTGTCCCCCTTGGTCCCCAGGTGGTGGCGCTGTTTGGGGAGGTTGTGAGAGCCTTTTGACATGGAGCCTAGCAAGCAGACCCAGGGCCATAGACGCAGGGGCTTCTGTGAAGCTGGAGGTCCCTGCCTCCTGGTCCACAGAGACATGAGTGAGCACAGCTGCAGGCTCCCACCACTGGGGCCACCGCCACTTCCACCAGCATGCCTCCCCTGCCCTGGTGGACCTGAACCATGACCAGAAGAGGTTTGTCTGCATGAATTTTGTGGGGTTTTTTTACACTAACTTAAATGTGTGTATGTGTATGTGGGGGGCATGCATGTGCCACGGGGTGTGTGTGGAGGTCAGAGAACAACTTTCAGGAGTCAATTCTTCCATTGTGTGGGTTCCCAGAATCAGACTCAAGTTATCAAGCTTGGCAGCAAGCTCCTTTATGCACATACCGGCACAAACCCTTCTTCCCATAGGTTGTTTCTATTGGGTGCTCTGTCACAGTGATGGGAGAGGTGACTGACACAGGAGGTGTCTGGTGGCATGTTGCCAGGACAGCCAGTTGCCAGCTCAGCCAGTGGGCAGGCCTCTGGGAAAGTGCAGGCTGAGCAGCAGTCTGCAGCCAAGTCATGTGACACAAACAGCAGCGCAGCCTGGTGTCAAGGCGGATAGCCCAGTCGGGAGAGCACCTGCAGTGTGTCCTGGTTTCCTCTCTGTGGCTGTGATAACTCTAACCAAAAGTAACCTGTACAAGGAAAGGGTCTACACGTGCAGGTCACAGTCCAGGAGCGAGGGTGTCAGGGCAGGAGCTCCAGCAGGAGCTCGAAGCAGAGACTGTGGGGGCCGCTGCTTGCTGGCTCATCCCCAGGTCAGACTGAGCTAGCTTATACAGCCCAGGCCACTGACCAGGGATGGCACCACCACAGGGGGCTGAGCATCCTGCATCAGTTAACAGTCGAGACAGTCCCCTGCAGACCTGCCACGGGCCAAGCTGATCTCGGCAACTCCTCCATCAAGGCTCTCCTCTCAGATGACTCTAGGCTGCGCTGGGTTGACAGTCGGAGCTAACCAGGACCCTGCAGATATGAGAGCCCAAGTTCCATCCTCAGAACTTGAATGCAAAGCCAGGCATGGTGGTGCACACTTGTAATCCCAGCACTGGGGAGGCAGGCCGGGACATATGGGGCTCACTGGACAGCCAGCATTGCCTGCCTGGCGAGCTGCAGGCCAGAGAGACCTTGACTCAAAGCAAGGTGGATGGTGCCCAAGGAAACACAAACACACACAGGACCACCCCCTTTGGAGATGTGTTGACAGTGTAATGACTTCTCACCATTAGGAGCTAGATGACAGCTCCCCTGCATGGATGACAGGGTTCCCACTGCCTGTCCCCTCTCTGTCTGCCACAGCATGATCTCCTTCTGTCCAAACTGTGGCAAAAACGTGGAAGCCACATTCAAGTTCTGCCCCTACTGTGGCAGCACGCTCCCTGCAGAGGAGCAGGCCAGCACCTCCGCCTTCCCCAGGCCACTCGCGTCATCCTTCCACGGTAAGAGCCTGTGCTGGGAGTGCATCCCTACAGCAGGGGTTGGGGAGGTGCATGCCTGCGTGTGTGTGTGTGTGTGTTTCTGTGTGTACACATGCCTATGTCTATGTGTGCACATGCCTGAGCCTGTGTGTGTGCTTGTGCATTCATGTGTGTACCTATGTGTGCACATGTGTGTGTGTACCTGTATGCATGCGCATATGTGTTTGTGTCTCTGCAGAGGTGTATTGTGTGAATGTGTATGCATGTATGGGTGTTTCTGTATGTATCTGTGTATATGTGAACCTGTGTGTGCATATGTGTGTCTATGTCTCTATATAGACATAGGTGTTCATGTGTGTCTCTGTGTGTGTGTGTTTTGTGTATGTGTGCGCATGTGTGTATCTGTGTGTGTTTGTGTGTATGTGTGCATGAAGTGTGTTTATGTGTGCATGTGGAGGGTGTGAGTGTGTTATGGTGGTGCACACGTGCTAGGGTGCACAGTGGAGGTCAGTGGACAACTTACAGGAGTCAGTTCTGTCCTTGTGCCACACCTGGCTGTGGAGCTCAGGTCATCAGCTCTACAGAATGTGTCTTTACCCACTGAGCCATCTTGCCAGCACCTCTGTGGTCCCTTATAGTCATCATCGTGACCGTTGTGATGCTGGCTGTGTCACCTGGCTGCAGGTGGTCATAGTGAAGTTGGAGGGTGTCTGGAATCACCTTAGAGTTAGCAGATTTTCCAAGCATGGTAACTTGTAACCTCAGCACTTGCAAAGCTGAGGTGGGAGAGTCGCCATGAGTTTGAGGCTGGCCTGGGCTGCAGAGTGACTTCTGTCTGAAGAACTATACAAAAATAATTAAAATTTACAAGTATTTACAAAGCATGTTTAATGTTTGAACAAAGAAAGGAACAAAAGTGCTTTAAATACAGGTGTAGCTATAGCCACTGCACCAGAAACTCGGTGTACAGTGTAAACGGCAGACTTGATACAGCTGGAGAATCAGAGAATCCATGAAGTGAAGAGTAGAGCTGAACAAATTCCTTACAAGCTGGATGTGGTGACACATGCCTGTAGTCCCAGTACTTGGTGGGCTGAGGAAGGAGGGTGGGATCATCATGAGGTCAAGGCCCGCCTGGGCTGTGTAATGAGATGCAGTCTCAAAAACAAAAAAAAAAAAATGGGCTGGAGAGATGGCTCAGTGGTTAAGAGCACTGACTGCTCTTGCAGAGGACCTGGGTTTGATTCCCAGCACCCACATGGCGGCTACAAACCGTCCTTAACTCCAGTTCCAGGGGAATCCGAAGGCCTCTTCTGATCTCTGTGGCATTGCACGACACGGGTGCACTCACATATGTGCAGGCAATACACTCATACACATAAAATAAAAATAATAAAATATGGGGCTGGAGAGATGGCTCAATGCTTGAGAACACTGGCTGGTCTTGCAGAGGACCCAGGTTCGAATCCCAGAACCCACATGACAGCTAACAACTGACCGTAACTCCAGTTCCAGGGAATCCAACAGCATCTTCTGTGCAACACAGGTGCACTTACCTACATGTAGGCAATACATGCATACACATAAAATAAAAATAATAAATAGTTGGGCGTGGTGGCGCACGCCTTAATCCCAGCACTTGGGAGGCAGAAACAGGTGGATCTCTGTGAGTTTGAGGCCAGCCTGGTCTACATAGTGAGTTTCAGGCCAGCTGGGGCTACAGGGAGACCCTGTCATAAAAAGGCCAAAAAAATAATCATAATAAAATATTTTAAAAAATAATAAGCCGAGCGTGGTGGCGCACGCCTTTAATCCCAGCACTTGGGAGGCAGAAGCAAGTGGATCTCTGTGAGTTTGAGGCCAGCCTGGTCTACATAATGAATTCCAGGCCAGGTGGGGCAACAGGTCTCAAAAAGACCAAAATAATAATAATAATAATAAAATTTAAAAAACATTGCTGGGTAGGTGAAATGCTCAGCAAAGCACTTACCACAGAAGCCTGGTGAGTTGGGTTCAGACCCCAGAACCCACTGGGTGACAGGAGAGAAGTGACTCCTGAAAGTTGTCCCAGATGTGCACATGTGCACCTGCACTCACTCACAATAATACCTACTTTAGTTTAAAAGAAAGAACCTAGAAGACAGAAGAGAGTGACCAGCGGTGGAGGATGTGGAGGGCTGGGGCAGAGGAAAGAAACAGCCCCTGTATGAGGGTGGTGAGGAAGCAAGAGTCTCCTGTGAGGGTCAGAAGAGAGCAGGCTGACGTGGAGCCGCAGGTGGGTTTGGGGCTCCCTGGAGCCTTCATAACCCTCATCTGTGTGTGCTTCGTCTTCAGGCTCCAGGAGGGGGCTGAGCTCCAGTCCAGAAACCTCCCCCAAGAAAGTGAAATGGTCGCACACCGTCACCTCTCTCCCACCGACTCTCCTCTCTGAATGTGATGGTTCTGAGCCTGGAAACACCTTGAATTCTCCTGAGAGATCCACAGGTGAGTGGGGCTTGATCTGACTCTGGATAGGACAAAGCCAGGTCATCTGACAGTATTTAGAACCAGGGCCCAGAGAGATGATTCAGTGATTAACAGCCCTGGTTACTTGCAGAGGACCTGGGTTTGGTTCCCAGCACCAACACAGTGGCTAACAACCACCTGTAACTCCAGCTCCAGGGGACTCAATGCCCTCTTCTGGCCTCTGCAGGCTCTGCACTCATACAAATGTATCCCCACACACATAAACACACAATTGAAAATAAAGTATAAGACAGTATTTGGGACAGAGCGGCAGCTGTTCCAGTTGAAGCATCAGCCACTCACTTCTGCATGGACCCTCACCCCAGCGCCGCCCCAGCATCTGCTGTCTCCCAACCCACCCCCACAGGGGCCTTCCACACCCCAAGCCACTTGTTGTCCAATCCACACACTGCCGTGACATTCACTGCTCCTCTCTCTGTGAGGCCCCCCCATCTTCCACCATCTGTCATTCTGTGCTGTTTTAAACAGTTTCTTTTTGTTTGGTTGCTTGTTTTGCTTTTTTTAAAATATTTTATTATTTTTATTTTATGTTTATAAGTGTATTGCCTGCATGTGGGTAAGTGCACCCATGTTGTGCAATGCCCAAGGAGGACAGAAGAGGCCGTCGGATCCCCTGGGACTGGAGTTAGGGACGGTTGTTAGCTGCAATGTTCTTAGCTGCTGAGCCACCTCTTCAGCCCCATTTGTTTTGCTTTTTAAATTAAAAAAAATGTATATGAGTATTTTGCCTGCATGTATGTAAGTGCACTCATATGTACAGTGCCCATGGAGATGAGAAGAGGGCATCAGATCCCCTAGAACTGGAGTTATAGACAGTTGTGAGCCACCATGCAGGTGCTGGGACCCAAACCTGGGTCCTCTGCAAGAGCAGCAAGTGCTGGTACCTGCTGAGCCAGCTCTCCAGCCCAGTTTGTTTTTTGAGTCTCACCATATAGCTTATGCTGGCCCAGAACTCAGAGTGATCCTCCTGCTTCAGCCCTCTAAATCCTGGGATTACAAGCCACTGTCACCACATCTAGTTTCTAAGCAGTTTCTTCCACTCTTTTTCCCACCTCTTGAACACTCTCTCCAGCCATGTCTAGCCGTTTAAACCATGTACTGAGTTTCTGATTCCACATCCCAGTAAACAGAAAGACCACTTTGGGGGACTGTCCATGTCTGGGCTCTGCTAACTCTGTTCCCTCAGCACAGGGCACCCTCACCTCTCTTCCTCCCTGCCAGGACCCTCTTCTCCACTATTTAGAGGCTCTGTCTCTAGGAACCCCTCCTGAGCCCCATGGATGTTTTACAAGGCCTCTCTCCCACACTCAGCTGCTGAAGCTGCCCATGTCTATCCATGAATGTCTCTCTAGGCTCCTTGTCCCTTTCAGCCTCTCTTCCTCTCCTGGGTGTTCGTTGTGGATGTATATTAGGTACTTTTCTGTTGCTGTGATAGATGGAACTTTTTTTTTAATATTTTATTATTTTTATTTTATGTATATGAGTGTATTACCTGCATGTATGTGAATGTACCCATGTCATGCAATGCTGTGGAGGTCAGAAGAGGGCTTCGGATTCCCCTGGAACTGGAGTTAAGGACAGTTCACAGCCGCCATGTGGGTGCTGGGAATCAAACCTGGGTCCTCTACAAAAGCAGTCAGTGCTCTTAACCGCTGAGCCATCTCTCCAGCCCCTGACCAAGGGAACTTATAAAAGGAAGAGTTTATTTAGCTTACGATTCCAACGGGGCGAGTCCATCGTGGCGGGAGGAACGGAGGCAGAGGTGGCTGGAGCAGGAGCAGAAGCTAAGTGCTCACATCTTCAAGCAGGCACAAGAAGCAGTGTGGGTCTGGAGATCTGGCAAGGCTTAAGAACTCTGTAAGCCTGCCCCCAGTGACATGCTTCCTCCAGCATGGCCACACCTTCTAAGACCTCCCAAAACAGAAGCACCAACTGGGTACAAAATGTTCAGATACTTGGAGCCTGTCAGGGACATCTCATTCAAACTATCACAGGATGGAACCACAACACTTACCTGTATTTGGTCTGCCAGTGCTGGGCAATAGAAGTCTGAGAAGCCAGGTGTGGTGGCACAAGATCATGTCTGCCTGGTCTTCATAGCAAGTTCCAGGCCAGCTGGAGCTACAGGGAGACTGTTTCAAAAAACATAAACCACTGTCCACCCCATGCCCCTCTCTTCCCTGTCCCTTCGAGGTCAGTCAGGTCTGAGTCTAACACACTTCTGGATCCCCTACACACCAAACCCTGTTTCAGGGTGCTTTGGGTGAATGTCTGTTATGTCCTTTCTCCTTGGCAAACTTCTGTTCAGCCAACAAGACCCTGTTTTGGTGTAGCCTCCTCCTTTTAAGCCTCCCCTAACTTCTCCAGGAGTTCATCTCTCTCTCCTCAATAGCCCACTTCTGCTCCATCGCAGATCTGATTCTGACCAGCCATGTCCAGGTCAGACTTCCCCACCACACTGAGGGGTCCAGATGTGGCCTGCATATAAGTGACCTGCATTATCTCACAAAGATCCTGACCTGTGGACACCAAGGACCTGCAGGCACCAAGAACCCGTGCACACCTGAACAGTATCTCGGGTGCTGCCTCTCTGCCGTGCTGCCTTCTCTTTATGGGTCATCTTCCTGCAGGCTCCGGCAGCAGACCCCTGACCCCTCGAAGCAGCCCTCAGTCCACCAGGCTAAGCCCACAGACACTGAAGCGGAGCCGGGTGACCACCTCACTCAAGGCTTTGCCCATGGGGACAGAGCTGACAGACAAGAATGGGCAGCGCTGGAGGCTGGGGGCCCTCCAGACCCGGGATAACCAGGGCATTCTCTACGAAGGTACATGCTGTCCCAGTTCATGTCATCCCAGTGTGCAGGGCCGGGTTGCAGGGCACCAGGACAAGGACTACCTTAGGCTTCTACATCACTGCAGCCAGAACACCAGGACAGCAACTTGGGGAAGAGAGGTTGGCTTGGGCACAGGTTTTGTTTGGGGGGGAGATCTAGTCCATCACGATGGGGACAGCGTGGTGGAGAAGGGCATCCAGGAAGCAGAGAAAAGGGGTTTAGACCAGGGCCCTCAGGGACAACGCCGCATCAACCTCCTTCCTCCAGCTGGGCTCCACCTGCTACCTCGCTCCACCTTCCAATCCCACCATCATATTTGAATCCACCAAAGGATTGATCCATCTGTTAGGTCAGAGCCCTTATGACATCATCCTGACTAGAAATATCCTTACAGCCACACCCAGAAATGTGCTTCACCCATCTCTTAGATGCCTCTGAGTCCCTTGAGTTGACAGGATTAGCCACAGGGGCTGGTGGTGTGGTAGGGGGCTGGTGGTGTGGTTCTTGTTTCATCTCTGTCATTTCGGTAAAACATCCTGAAGAAAGCAACTTAGGGAAGAAAGTACTTATTTTGACTGACAATTCCATGTCACAGGCCTCCATAGTGGGAGTCAAGGGGGACGAGAGGGAGCTGATCACATCCACAGGATGACAATTTCATGTCACAGGCCTTCATGGTGGGAGTTAAGGGGGACGAGAGGGAGCCAATCACATCCACAGTCAGGATCAGGAAGAAGTGTGTGCATGCTCACCCACTTGCTGTGCTGTGCTTGATTTCTCCACACAGTCCCTTGCCACAGTGGGCTGGGTCTTCCCACATCAGTTATCCTCATTGAGACAATCCCCCACAGATGTGTCCACAGGCTGACACAGTGTAGACAGTCCCTCATTGAGACTCTTCCCAGGTGATTCTAGGTTGTATCTCGCCAACAATTATAACTAACCACATGTGCCCAGCATGCACAAGGGTCTGGATCTGATCTCCAGTACTTTGAAGAGAAAGAAGTGGGGGAAGCACCAAGCACGTACTTTCTCATTAGAAGCAGGAAACTGGTTCTTGGTTCTGGGAAGCTTGAGGACTGCCGCTCCCCTCCCTCAGGCTCTCACTTCTGCCCCTCCACAGCTGAGCCTGCTTCTGTTGTCCCCTGTGAATCTAGGACCCAGAAGCACAGATTCTCGCTCAAACTGGTGAGTGACCCTGGGCAGCTCAGAGGGGAGAGCCTGGGGCTTTTCAAATACACCTTCAACCTCAGCCCCAGTAGCTGAGCCTGGAGCCTGGGCATGTGCCCCCCCATCCCACCTGTGAGGCGCTGTGGTACCCTGGCCAGGCAGCCCCCTGCCATACAGCCCACCTGCCACTACCAAGAGCCTCACAGGGCATGGAGACTGAGGGCCACGCTCAGCTTTTTGTTTGGTTGGTTCTTTTATTTTTGGTTTCACTGTAGTTGCAGCTGCCCTGGAACTCGCTACATAGACCAGAAACCTGCCTGCCTCTGCCTCCCGAGTGCTGAGACAAGACAGGTACCACCATGCTCAGCTGTTAGTTTTGGTTGGTGCGACAGCGTCCCCAGCTTCCTTCTCTGTCTGGCTTCCTCTACTTTCAACTTCTTTCTCATGGACTGAGGTAGCTGCCCCAGCTCCTGCCCTCACATCTGCATTCTGGTTAGCTGGAAGCAAGAAGAGGAATCGGAAAGAGTGGTTCAGCCTTCTTAGGGCATAACCCGGCAGTATGGACCACTACCCCAGAATTTTTTTGCGGGTGAGGGGAACAGGTTCTCAATACATAGCCCAGGCTGGCCTGGAACTCATGGCAGTTCTTTTGCTCACTATCTTTGGCCAGAAGTCAGTCATGTCGCCAGGCCTCCTTGTAAAGGAAGCTGGGAAATGAAGTTTTTAGCCGAGGGCCACATATCTAGGCAAACTTGTGAATCTTACTTGAAAAGCCACCAAGGAAGAAAAGTGCTGGGTGGCAGCTCCGGAACAAGTTGGAATGCGGGGACAGGAGGAACCTGAGGTTGCTGGTGTTGCCCTGGGGTCAGCTGGGGCCCTTGTCTAAGAGACTTCGGTGTGACAGCCTCTGCCCTCCTGTCCCCCACCCCCAGGATTCCAAGGACGGACGCCTCTTCAATGAGCAGAACTTCTTCCAGCGGGCTGCCAAGCCCTTGCAAGGTACTCCACGGGAGCAGGCAGGAGAATTAGGGGTACAGCTCCTCACAGCAACCAGCTTCCCCCCACCTTGTGAACATCACACCCACCAAGGCCAGCTGTGCATCCCACCCTTACCCACCACTTAGTCCTGTCCTCAAGCCTCAGAGGACAGGTGGCCAGCCCGCAGCAGCTCTGGAGAGATAAGTGGTGAAAGTCACAGTCCCACTTACACACGTTAACCAAGTTGGATCAGTTCCATTCAAAACAAGCACGCAGTGTGTGACTTCCTAATCGTTTTCTGTCTCCTGAACTCACGTGGTCCTGAGATCTGTCACATGGTGGAAATAGCACACTGCTGTGCCTCTTTCTAACCCCACTCAGTCCAGTGGTTCTGCTTGCCTTGAAGCAGATAGGTGGGAAGTATTTATACCACAGGCAGTGGTCAAACTGCCAGCCCACATGGGTGCCTTGGGTAGCCGGCTCCTGGCCTCTACTCAGCCCTCCACTCCTTTGGCATCACCCCAGGGACCCTAGAAGACAAAAAATTCAGTGACTCCATGGCTGGCTTAAGGTTTATTCATCCTGTCAGCCCTGCCTATAAACTCAGAGATCACTGGTTCACTTACTCATGCTCACTCTCTCCCCGTCTTCCTCTCTCTCTCTTCCCCTCTCCCTCTGCCTCTTGCCCCTCCCCCTCCCCCTTCCTCCCTTCTTCTGTCCCTCCCTCCCTCCCTACCTTGTTCCTTTCTTTGAGACAGAGTCTCATGTAGCCCAGGCTGTCTCAGACCTGCAATATCACCTCCCGTAGCCCAGAATGTCCTTGAACCCCTCATCCTCCTGCCTCTACCTCTTGAGTGCTAGAGTTATAGTCCTGCACCACACAGTGGTTTTGTGTGGCTCTGGGGTTGGAAATCAAGGCTTCCTGCATGATGCAAGGCCAGCTGTCTACCACCAAGCCCCATTGCAGCCCCGCCCTGTCACTCTTAGGTCCCAGTGGTGTGGACATGCCTGCTCAGGAGCCACCAGCAGCCGTGCCCACCCTGTGCCCACCCCTTCTCAGTGTCACCCACCACAAAGCTGTCATCTCCCACAAGGGCCAGAGGGGAGCCCCTGGGTCTCTCTTGGGCCCTGCTGCAGGGGCTGCTGTTCCCATGGCCTGGCACCCCATGGCTCTGACCTGGAGCCCCCCTGCCGCCCACAGTGATCAAATGGAAGCGGCAGCGCTCAGCCCCGCTGCTGGCTATTCCCACCTGTGTGGGCTTTGGACTCCACCAGGACAAGTACAGGTGAGCCAAGGCCCCTGTGTGAATGGGAATCCAGGGGAGAATTGGGGTCTGAACTGGGACTGCACCAAAGGTGGCTCCTGTGTAAGTACAGACACTAGTGACCTGCACAGCTGTTCAGCAGAGTCCCTCTACTCATAACTGCCTTGTTGGCCTTTGTGCAGCTAGCTGGGGAGGAGCCCAGGGGAGGGAAGGAGCTGAGGCGGGGAGGAGGGAGAGCAGAGGGGGAGGAGATGAAAGCAAGGTACAGTGTGGCACAGGGAGGAGAGATGAAGACCACACTAACCTCTAGTGAGACTGTAATCTGCGGTTTGTGGAGAACCCCAAGATAGGAAAGGAAGGAAGGAAGGAAAAGGGTTTATTTACAGTTTTGGTTAGAACTAAGGGGAGCAAAACCCTCAGGCTCCCTGTCCTAGAGCCCTGGTGGGACTAACAGGGAAATACACAGGTGTAGACCAGACCCACTGCCCCCGTCAGCTGAGAGGGCATCCTCCTGGGAGGTGCATGTCTCCCAGCTCACCCTGCCCACTACCTATGGGGACCTTGCAGGAGCTTGGCCCCTCTGCCCAGTCCCCATGGGGCATCTTGAGGGGTCTTGGTGTCCTGTGTCTCCAGCTCCCAAGAGCTCTTGTGTTCCAGGTTCCTGGTGTTCCCCAGCCTGGGGAGGAGCCTTCAGTCGGCCCTGGATGACCACCCGAAGCACACCGTGTCAGAGAGGTGTGTGTTCCAGGTGGCCTGCAGGCTGGTAAGTACCCAGGTCTCAGCCTCTCAGTGGCTGGGTGACTCATCTCTGAGGCCAGCCCCACTTCCCTCTGCCCAGAGGCCTGGCACCAGTTTTCCAGTCGTTCTAATGACTCCGGAAGATCAGCAATGCCTGGGGGCCCAGCAGGAGGGCGAGCTGTGGCAGGCCAGCAGGTGTGTTGGAAGAGAGCGTTCCAGGCCACAGAGACAGCTTAGGCAGAGGCATGTGTGGAGATGGACTCTTGATCACTGAGTATTTGTCCAGCAACCCAGCCTGCCCACATGGCAGGTGGGAGGGGACACCCCACAGTGCTCCAGTAGCAAGGATCCCTGTTTCATGAAGGAGGACTGGTTTGCGGGGGTGGGGTGCAGGAGATACCAGTGAGTGAACCCACAGGGATGCAAACACCAGATGAAACTAACCAGGGGGTACTGGAGCCATGGGGAGATTGGGCAGATGAGGAGCAGAAAGACCCTTGGGGCCATGTGGGGTCAGGGTGGAGCACGGAGATTGGAGGCAGGATGAAGGTCAAGGTGGGAGAGGATGGAACCCGCATTGTCCTGGCTGGAGGAGAGACAAATTGTGGAAGTAGATCAAGCAGGACTAGATGGAAGGTTCAGCCCTGGAGTCTAAGAGGGGCCTGGTGATACAAAGATGCCATGGACACCCAGACAGATCTTCTGAAAGTTCAGCGTTCAGTGGAAAACTTGGGGCTGGAGATAAAGGAAGAAATTGCTGGGAAGGAGATGTGGCTCAGTGGTAGAGCCCCTGCCTAGAATCCCCCAGTGAGGGGCTGGGGTGTGACTCAGTGGTGGAGCCCCTGCCTAGGATCCCCAGTGAGGGGCTGGGGTGTGGCTCAGTGGTGGAGCCCCTGCCTAGAATCCCCCAGTGAGGGGCTAGGGTGTGGCTCAGTGGTAGAGCCCCTGCCTAGAGTCCCCCAGTGAGGGACTTACCTGAGGCCGCTTCTCTTGGGGAGACCTCCAGTGTTCACGGTGCTGTTCCTCTGCAGAGGGACACTTAAGTCCCTCTCTTAGTTTTGCAGTCTGCTCAGGCACAGGAGATAGATGGAAAGCCAAACATGATCTTTATTGCTGAATCCTTTGTGGGGGCTAGGTAGAGCCATGGTGAGGCATGCTGGCATAGTGGACTTCCTAAAGTCTCAGGCAGACCTACCCCCAGTCTCAAGTATTGCATGGGTCCCAGGGTGGCAGTGAGGCCTGCCGGTGCCAGCCTGCCAAGGCGAACAGCACCTGAAAGAGGGAGTGAGGATGAAAGAAAAACAAGAGACAGAGAAAAGACACTTGGGAGGACTGTCAGTAGAGACTGCAGCCCCGGTTTATCTTAGCTCAGCCTTTTTATACAGTAGAACATCAAGATAGCCAGTTTGCTTAGCTGAATTGGCACCAACAACTCTTTTTACCCACCTCCTCCTGAGAGTAAAGGAACGGTCAAATACTTGTTGTGAATTCAACCGTTTACCTGTCCTCCCTAGAATATCAATACATTCTTCCTGACTTGGCAGAACAATTCGATACTTGTGTGCAAAACACACAAACTCTAGAGTCAAGGAGACCTGCCACAGCTCAGTGCACACAATGGCTGTGCTTAAAATAATAGCTCCCAACAGAGGCCTTTCGCCTGCCTGCCTGCATCATGACTCTGTTGGTCACACTACCTCAAGTGCCTGCCTTCCTCCCCAGCTGGATGCGCTGGAGTTCCTCCACGAAAACGAATATGTGCACGGGAACCTGACGGCTGAGAACGTCTTTGTGAACCCAGAGGATCTGAGCCAGGTGAGAGCCAACACATACCACATACAGAGACACACAGCCTCCACACAGACACATACCACAGACAACCACACAGACATAACATACACACATCACACACACAGACATACACATACACACCATAGGAACACACCACAGATACCATATGTATATACATACATAACACACACATACAAGAACACACAGAGACATAGCTCTTTGGTATACATACAGCTTTGCTATTTGCTAAAGATGGTAGCCAATTTGCATGCTCATGGGTTAGATGTACTTGTTTGTCTAACACAGTAGGATCTAAAGTTACACTAATTTGGTGCTTAGATGCCGAGGGGTCATTGCAGGAGAACTTTAGAAGCCTGTTTCTGTGACAAATCCATCTTGTTTCTGTAAGAGCAGAAACCACTGTGAAAGCTGCCGTTAGTAGCAGGAGCATCTCAAACTCAACCCCAGGTGTTGACATTGTGTGGTGTTACAGTCGGCACAGTGCATGATGCACACATATGTTGATGCACACTTATGTTCAGACTAACGTTGTGCATGCCAGTGGATGCCCCGTTGACTTTGAAGTGAGTTTTGGTCACTGCACATTCACAAACCTTCCACTGTTGTCCCCACCTTCAGTCACCTGGCCTCAGTCCTCACCTCAGTCACCACCTCGGTCCTCACCTCAGTCACCACCTCAGTCCTCATCTCAGTCACCACCTCAGTCACCACCTCAGTCCTCATCTCAGTCCTCACCTCAGTCACCACCTCAGTCCTCACCTCAGTCCTCACCTCAGTCCTCACCTCAGTCACCACCTCAGCCAGTGGATGCCCCGTTGACTTTGAAGTGAGTTTTGGTCACTGCACATTCACAAACCTTCCACTGTTGTCCCCACCTTCAGTCACCTGGCCTCAGTCCTCACCTCAGTCACCACCTCAGTCCTCACCTCAGTCACCACCTCAGTCCTCATCTCAGTCACCACCTCAGTCACCACCTCAGTCCTCATCTCAGTCCTCACCTCAGTCACCACCTCAGTCCTCACCTCAGTCCCCACCTCAGTCCTCACCTCAGTCCCCACCTCAGTCCCCACCTTCAGTGATGTGGCCTCACATTTTAGGAAACTGTGATGGGGCTGGAGAGATGCTCAGTGGTTAAGAGCACTAGTGTTCTTGCAGAAGACCCAGGTTTGAATCCCAGCACCCACGTGGCAGCTAACAACTGTCCATAACTCCAGTTCCAGAGGATCTGAAGGCCTCTTCAAGGGCATTGCACGACAGTTGCACTTACACACATGCAGGCATTGCACTCATATACATAAAATAAAAGTAATAAATAGGGGGCTGGGGAGATGGCTCAGCAGTTAAGAACACTGACTGTTCTTGCAAAAGACCAGGGTTCGAATCCCAGCACCCACATGGAAGCTAAAAACTGTCCGTAACTCCAGTTCCAGGGGATCTGACAGCCTCTTCTGTCCTGCACGGGCATTGCACAACATGGGTGCACTTACCTACATGCAGGCAATATACTCATACACATAAAATTAAATACTAAATAAAATATTTTTTTAAGTAATAAAATTTTAATTTTTTTTTTTTTTGATCTTTTTGAGACGAAATCTCCCTGTAGCCCCAGCTGTCCTGGAACTCACTATGTAGACCAGGCTGGCCTCAACTCACAAAGATCCACCTGCCTCTGCCGTCCAAGTGCTGGGATTAAAGTGTGCCACCACACCCAGCTCTATTTTTATTTTGAAGCAGAATTTCACTGTTTCTAGGCTGTTCTTGTGTTGAACATGCTATGTAACTTGGGCAGGCCTTGAACTGCTAATGCTGTATCCTGAGTAGCTGGGGGTGTGAAAAATGTTACCTTTGTGTCTGGGGATGCAATTCAGTTTGTTGAGTGCTGGTATGCCATAAACATAGCCCTGAACTCCATCCCCAGCAGTGCCTAAACCAGCCACGCACACCTGCCATCCCAGCACTGAGATGGGAGACAGGAGGATCAGGAGTTCAAGGTCATCAGCTGCATAGGGAGTTCCAGGCTAGCCTGGGCTACATGAGACCCTGTCTCAAAAAAATGATCACTGTTCTAATTTTGGTGTAAAGGGTTTCTCCCAAGGCTTGTGTGTTGAGGCAGGTGTGGTGGCACAGGCCTGGAATCCCAGCACTTCCAAAGCTGAGGCAGAAGGAATGCTGGGATTTCCAGGCAAGACCATGGGCCAACAAAACAAAAGAGCTCGTGTGTTAGAGACTTGGACCCAGTCCAGGGTTCAGAAGCTTTGGCCATGGCTCAGTCGGGAGGGTCTGGCTGTATCAGTGCATCAGTCTGTTGATGGAGCCATGATTTGATAGTATTATGGGGAGGGCTGGAAATCATGAGGCGGGCCTAGTTGGAAGCGTCGAGGCACTGGGGGCAATCCTGTGAAGGATCCATCTGTGTCATTTCCCAGCCATTGCTCTCTCTGCTTCCTGGCCACCCGAGGTGAGCAGCTCCAACCACATGCTTCACCCTCCACAATGCACAGCCTCACCTGAGGCCCAGAGCAATGGGTATGGCTGTCTTTGTGTCTTTGTGGTGCTGGACTGTTTGACCCTGCGCCCACCGTTGGCGTCTCTGATGCAGAGGTGGTGCTCCTAACCCTCAGTCTTATGTTCACAGGTGACTCTGGTGGGCTATGGCTTCACCTTCCGATACTGCCCAGGCGGCAAACACGTGGCCTACAAAGAAGGCAGCAGGAGCCCACACGAGGGGGACCTAGAGTTCATTAGCGTGGACCTGCACAAAGGATGCGGTGAGAGGACACGGGACTGGAGACCTTTACGACTTCTCACCCTGGGCAGCTCCAGGGGCTCTTAGCTGTGCACAGCAGACAGCAGACATGTGAGGGGCATGAAGGGGTCATGGTGCAAAATATGGACAGTGACCTGGCTGTGTGAGGAGCTGTGGGGCCTGCTTTGGCACCAAGGACAGCGAGCAGAAGGCCAGCGCGTCCTGGTATTCCAGAGGCTGGGTGGGATTCCCCACCTTGTGTAGGCCTGGAAGATGAGCGTTGCCTTAGGGGCACCCAGGAATGGCAGTTGTGGATGGGGGTATTCACAACTGGAGTACAGACCTCTGTAGTATCATGGGAGTTAAGCACTGATCCCAGGAGAGGGTTGGGTTACCCAGAGGAAGTGTGCAGAGAGAGACAACATCCCTGTCCTAGTTTGTTCTTCATTGCTGTGACAAAATACTCTGACCACTACCAACTTGGGGAGGAAAGGGTTTAATTCAGCTTACATCTCCCAGGTCGCAGTTCATCAGGGTGCCCAAGGTAGGAACTCAGGGCAGGAACCTGGAAGCAGGAACTAGAGCACAGGCCATGGAGGAACTCTGCTTACTGGCTTGCTCCCCTGGCCCCTGCTCAGCCTGCTTTCTTATGCAACACAGGCCCACCTGCCCAGGGGTGGCACCACCCACAGTGGGCTGGGCCCTCCCACATCACTCATCAAGAAGATGCCCTTCAGACATGGCCACAGGCCAGTCCAATAGAGGCAATTCCCCAATTGAGGCTCCCTCAACCCAGGTGTGTCAAGTTGACACTAAAGCTATCCAGCACAATCCCGGAACAGATTCTCCAGCCCCTCTTTCTCAAGTCCCTTAGTACTACAGCCATCCTTCTGCCTGCCAGCATGCCCCCACCAGACTAAGCTCCTCAGCAGAGCTGGTGCCTGTGTCTCTGCACCAGGGGTGGGAGGTAGCACAGCACACAGGTGGCCCCTCACTGCGGGGCCCTGCATGTTCTGTGAGGAGGTGACCCCTCACTGTGGTCTTCTCTCACTTTGCTGCTTGGAGATGGAACTTATGACTCTCCTGTCTGTCTGCGGTGGGTTGGGCCTGGTACATGGCAGTGAGGACTCATTGCATGAATATATTAATGAAAGATGAATGGGAGGGGAGAGAGGGGGTGAAAGGTGACTGAGCATGTGAGAGCAATGGAGAGAAAGAGGCTGAATGGTGGGGGTACAGGAGTGATGGCTGAATGGTGGGGGGTACAGGAGTGATGGCTGAATGGTGGGGGGACGGGAGCGATGGCTGAATGGTGGGGGGACGGGAGCAATGGCTGAATGGTGGGGGGGCAGGAGTGATGGCTGAATGGTGGGGGGGCAGGAGTGATGGCTGAATGGGGAGGGGGACAAGAGTGATGGCTGAATGGTGGGGGGGCAGGAGTGATGGCTGAATGGTGAGGGGTACAAGAGTGATGGCTGAATGGTGGGGGTACAGGAGTGCTGGCTGAATGGTGGGGGGTACAGGAGTGATGGCTGAATGGTGGGGGGGCAGGAGTGATGGCTGAATGGTGGGGGAGTGGGTAGATGCATGAGGAGATCAAGCATTCAGACCGAGACACTGCCTCTTCCCCTCCCTCCCAGGTCCCTCCCGCCGCAGTGACCTCCAGGCCCTGGGCTACTGTATGCTTAAGTGGCTTTATGGGTCCCTGCCGTGGACAGACTGCCTTCCCAACACCGAGGAGATCACCAAGCAGAAACAGAAGTAAGTCCAAGGGTCTGCAGAGCCCAGTTCTGGTCCAAATACCCCTGCAGGTGAGGGAGGAGCTCAGATCCAGCAGGCAGCAGAAAGGATGGGGAGACGGCCTCCCACAGAGCCCTGTGCTGCCTCCAGTGAGTGCCCTGCTGTGCATTCCAGCGGGAGACAGCATGGGTTCTGGAGCCTCAGTCCCTGGCGGCAGCTTGACCTCTTGTGTTCTCTGTTGTGAGGCACCATGCACTTGGCTCCTGAGCCACAAGGGAGTGATGGATTAAGGGAAGAAGGACACACTCTGCACAGGGCCTCATGCTCACCATATGCAAGACATCGTGCCTCACTCATTCACAGCCAGGCAGGACTCTGAGGTCCAGCGCCCATGGGCCACCCAGCATTCGTATCCTAGAATTAGTGCCTTGGCCTCCACGTGTGAACCTTGGGTCCTGGCAAGTGCACTTAGCATTGACAGCAGGAAGTCACTTCAGAGGGAGAAATTGTGCTAGGACTGTGGGTATAGCCAGGGTAGCCAATAAGACTTGGCTTAGGGAAGTGCTGGGGTGCTACTCACTACCAAGGACAGCACGGATCCTGCAGTTGAAGGGGAAAGCTGCTTGGTGCACCTCAGCACCAAGGACAGCGGGAAAGCCGTGCTACTGAGGCACACAGAAGTCTGTTTCAGGACCAAGGACAGCGGGGAGGCCAGTTCCAAGGGAAGCGCCCTGCAATCTGTTTTCAGCACCATGAACAGCAGGGTGCTGGGTTCAGTGTTGTGCTGCGGGTTTCAGCACCGTGGACAGCAGGAAGAGGTGCTGTGCTGAGGGTGCACTTCAGCACCGAGGACAGCAGACCACTGGCCCTTTGGGTGTCCTCTAGGATCCCAGTACCAACAGAGGCCAGACACATCGAGGATGGGCTGCCCAGAAGGCTGAAGTAGTAGCCGTCCACATCTGTAGAGCTGGGCCAAACGGAGGTCAGACCTCTAGCTGTCTCCAGGAGTATCAGCTAAAGCCCCACAAGACGATGAGGTCTCTGGGAAAGTGCGTGTCATGGGAAAATGGTGAGCTGTCTAGTGAACACACCACCAGGCTCTTTTGTCTTTAGGTCTTGGGGTGCCTTGGCTCACTTATAGTTTTGCCCCCATCAATTCTGCTGTCTCTCTCCATGCTACGTGCACAGCAGGTGCTGCTGGGTTTAGCTCATAGCAGTAGGACAGCTTCCTTTTGAATTGAAGCCAATAGAGACCGGGAAGCACAGTTGGAGTGAGCATGCACCCCAAAAGCTAAGGGGTCAAGAGTGGCGGGTTGGTAGGTGTCTCTATGGGACAGGGACAAGGCAGACCCAAACACATCAGCTTACCAAGTACATGGTGACTTCTGTCTTGGGCAGAGATCCTCGACCCCTCCAGCCCATCCATCTTCTTGTGTCCACATTCTGTCCCCAGTGTCTTCTGGCAAGAGGGAGTTCTTTTCAAGGGTGCCCAAGAAACACGCAGTGCTGAGTGACTAAGGAATGCCATGTGAGCCATCCTGGGCTCAGGTGTGCACAGAGGTCTCCAGACCTGCTGGGCTAAGTGGACACACAGCAGAAATCAGACAAGAGGCTCAGGGCACTGTGGGAGCAGACAATCTTCCTCCACAGGCTGCAGGAAACCTTTCCCCACAGAAGGTCAGCCCCAGTAGCCTCCCGGGGGGTGGGTGCCTAGGCAGAGAGAAATGGGCATTTGACCTCTGCATGCAACCATCCATCCGTCCAGGTTTCCTAAGGGTCTGTGTGCAGTGAGGACACAGAGGGAATCAGGTCTGGGAGTCTCCATCCCTGCTCTTGCAGGCAGGAGTCACACTGAGGCTCCCTGGGATTGAGCCCTCTCCTCTTCCCCACACTTCCCCTGACTCAGAACCCATAGTCACATTGCCATGCTGACTCCCCCATCACTACAATGATTTCTCTCCCACCTCCCCCTTTCCTGAGACTTTAGACAAACAGGATGCACTTTAGATAACATAGACACCCACCCACAGGATGCGGAGCAGATAGGAGACGGCCAGCATTCACCTTAAGCTCGGTGTCCTGTGGGGACCTGGTGCAGTAACAGAAAAGGCCACAAGGACCAGACATGGAGGCGCACACCTCAGGTGGACTCCTGTGAGATCCAGGGCAGCCTAGGATGGTCTGTATATCGAGCTCCAGGCCCAGATGAGGTTTCAGGAAGACCGTGTCTAAACATTTTTTTAAAGGGACACAAGGGGCGGTGCTGCATCATGCCTGGTTCCTGGTACTCAGCCAGGGTCTGAGCCACTACATCACGGAGTGTGCTCTTTCCATTCATTCAACAGGTTCCTCTGCGTGTGTGTGTGTGTGTATGTGTGTGTGTGTGTGTGTGTGTACATGTGCTTGCTTGCATGTGTGAGAGAGTTACTGAGTTATTGTGTGTATGTGGGGGTAGTGCATGTGTATATATGCATGTGTATAGAGGTATGTGTGTACCATGTGCATGTGAGGGTTAGAGGACATCCCAACCTTGGGTGTCGTTTCTTCATCTCCCTGGTGCCCTCTACCTTGGTTTTTAAATTAATTTTATAATTTTTTTATGTGTATGTGTGTAGTTATGTACACATGAGTGCAGGTGCCAGAGGAGGACAGAGGCATCAGATTCCCTGGAGCTAGAGTTACAGATGGTTGTCATCCACCTGACCTGTGTGCTGGTCCTCTGTGGGAGTAGTACACACCTCACCACTGAGTTACAGTGTGAGGTATGGCTTGAGGGACTGGAGAACTGGGTCAGCAGTTAAGGGCACTGCTCTTACCTGAGTTTGGTTCCTAACACCCATATGGCAGCTAACAACCATCTGTAACTCCAGTTCCAGGGGATTCAATGCCCTTTTCTGTCCTCCTAAGGCATTGCATAACATGGGTGCACTTACATGTAGGTAAAACACTCATACACATAGAAGCAAAATAATTTGAAAAACTGGGGCTGGAGAGATGGCTCAATGGTTAAGAACACTGGCTGTTCTTGCAGAAGACCCCAGTTTGAATCCCAGCACCCATATGGCAGCTAACAGCTGTCCGTAACTCCAGTTCCAGGGGATCCAACAGCCCCTTCTCTCCTCCGCGGGCATTGCACGACACGGGTGCACTTACCTACAAGCAGGCAATTCACACATACACATAAAATTTAAAAATAATAAAATATGAAAAAAATAACTTGAAAAACAATAGTGATAAGGAGCTGGAGAGGTGGCTCAGGGATTAAGAGTATTTGCTATTCTTCTGGAGGACCTGGGTTCAACTCCCAGCACACATGGTGGCTTTGTCATCATTTCAACCTTCACAGGCACTACACACACACCAGTAAACATACAGGCTATCGAAACAATTGTACAAATAATTTTAAGTATCATTTACAAAAATAATGATAGAATATTTTTTAAACTAAATCTGTGGGCTGGGGTGTGGCTCCACTTGTGAAGCTCTGGGCTGGCATGCAGGAGGTCCTGGGTACCATCCCCAGCACCATATAAGCTAGGTGTGGTAGTGCACACCCGGGAGGTGGAGGCAGGAGGATCTGATGCTCATCTTCTGCTACATAGAGGAGTCCAGGGCCAGCCTGGGCTACATGAGACCCTATCTAAAAAACTAAAAAGTAAACAAGAATAAAATACTGAGGTCACATACTGGTTGATTGTGAGACTGCTGGGAACAGAGGCTTCTAAGTCCCTCTTCACAGCAAATCTGCTGAACATAAATGCCACCTATGACAAGTGTGGGCTATGCTGTGCGCATGTGCATGTGTAGAACACTCTTTTAACATGTCACTCCCCTTTCCTCTGGGCTTCTGCCTCTCAGGTATCTGGATGCCCCCGAGTCCCTCGTGAAACGGCACAGCTGCTGGCTTGGGACCTCAGGTACATCCCACAGGGGGAGGTGCAGGCAGGCCTCTTGGGGACCAGGTGCTCAGGGCATCTCTTCACCCATTTTGCTTGCTTGCTTTGAGTTTCCAGATTGTATGTGTAGCATGTGCCCATTGTAGGAAAACACACAAAAATGTTTTTTATGAGTCCAAACATTAACAGTATTGAAAAACACATGCACATGATTCTTGTTTGTAGTGATGGGATCTAGGGTCTTGTTTGTTTTTCTTCTTTTTTTTT